TGCACTAGTCAAAGAGACATGCCAGTGAAAAACTGTAACGTTGTGGAGAAGCTGGGAAAACAGGCAGAGGCAAGGATCTATGTGCTGGTATTTCATGGAAAAACTAGAACAAACAATAAGGCAAAAACCAAAGGGAACAAAGAACAGAATGACTGGCAAACAGACAATCATTACATTCAACAGCTCACAAGGAACTAAAGAAAAACTAGGGCTATATATACACACAGAGGACTAACAAGTTTAACAAGATAAGACACACCTGGGGAGACTAATCAAGGGGAACCAATGAACAAACGGACTACAAACTGACTACAAACACCACGGGAGACAGGAAGTGACATTAAAGTCTAGGGCAAGGCACAGAGAGCATGAAACAAAAACAAGAAAGAGTTGATTTGTGAGAGCAATCACGTTTATTTTCTAAAACCAAAATAAAACAGAACACCTAAAAATTACAAAACAAACAAACTTATATAAAAAATATCCTTCAAAAAGGTCTCTTCGGTATAATGGATAAATAAAATAATGTTAAGTAAAATTAAAAAGCCGAAGCCTTCTTGCAGTGGATGTGCTGGTTTGGGCCTCATTGCCGGCATGTCCTCATCTCATATATAAAACACCTGTGATTCCCAAATACTTGCTAAGGAACTCGCATTCACATAAAGTAGCCTTGTTGAACAGTTTGGGTAAGTAAGGGCAAAATGCACAAGATGCAGTACTTTCAGTGACCTGTAATAGGCAGTATCACGTCTTTTGTAGCAGAAATAAACTGCTGCAGAAAAAGCTAGGTCCATGCAAAATGTAATGTGTAACTGCAACACTCATTTCAAATTTAGTGGAGTAAAGAGTACAGATACTCATTCAAAAATGTAGTGAAGTAGAGAGTAAAAGTTGCTAATATCTTTGATACTCAGTACAACTACAAAGTATCCAAAAATATACTCAAGTACAGTAACTAATTACATTTACTCCAATACTTTACACCTCTGGCCGTCTCTAATGGGCCAGTCTCAAATTACATAACAGGAAGGTTGAGGCTGGCTCTTTTGAACATATTTTGCCTTTCCCACATTTCCACACATTCACATTTACAGGAAATGCATCCGTCGTCACCCTCTGAACAGCCATCTCCATGCATCACAAAAGTTCATGCCTTCAATTAAACTTCTACTGATAAGACATGGATGACTGCTTTTCACAGTCACTCGACCACAAACGGCCATACAAAAGAACCAAGGATCTCACTATATGTCCCACAACATTCCAAGAGGCGTTTTCCTCAGAATGAACAGCGGTTCTGTCTATCTTCACTCAAGCACATGGAGGCACACTGATCTCTTGTTCAGAAATGACCTTATTGGCTGGTTTGAGGTGAAGCTGAAAAAATGTAATGTCTCTCTTGTGGCATCTTCAACTAGGAATCACATGGCCTGGGTATGAATCTGAGAAAACTGCAATGGCCAACACTAAGAACACTACATCTTTCAACACATACATACTCAAAGTGATATGGACGGCGATGATACCATCTTCTAGTTAAATTCAATTTCGCCTTGTCTCAAGTCATAATACCCTTTAAGAGCTTAATAAAAGTTAGCTGTAACTGACAGAAATCAAGGCATGTCAAGTGATTTTGTTTAACGCATTGGCAAAATGCTGAGCTCTGTGCTGTTTCAGCTCTAGAAGGAACACACCCAGTGAACATGTTTGTTTACTGCTTAGCAAAAGACCCCTCAATCTTCCCTGTCATCATGTGTAATTGCCACAGTCTTCTTAAGAATGAGTTTTTGGCTGAAGCATCTACCAGACAAACCGCTTCACAACATTACCAAGGCAGCAAAAGCACTTCCTCAGACAGTATTTAGCTGACAACTGTTTCCACGTAGCACACAAATATAATAATAGATGGTGCTTTATTCTGAGTGCTTGAACTAATTTGTTTTTCCTCTTCACATCAGCACCTGTCTAAACACTGAGAGAAACTATTGTTCTCCAGTCCCCGCTGTGTCCGTCCATGACGGATCTATTGGAAAGGGTGCCTCTCTTCCTCAGAAATGTGTGTCAGATTCAATAGTGGACACGGCTGTGGTGGGGGTTGTGAAGATGGTTCTTGACGCTCTGCAGTGTAAAGAAACGAAGGTTTGGGAGCATGCTAAGATAATTACAGCAGCACACCAGTGTAACTTTCACTACATAAACTTGTACAACTTTTGGAAGTTCTTCAGAACAGATAGATAGATAGATAGAATATACTGTACACTAAAGGCATGTTTGCACTAGTAAATTTAAGTTTTTAAGCTGCATCTAGTTTCGTAGTAATACCAAAAGTACACTTAAATTAGGCCATGTTGTTTTATGAAAATAGATTTTGCATACATAAATTATACACTTAATAGGATCACTTAAACATGCCCTATGACCTAACACTGAAGACTAACCAACCCAGTCAAATCAGTCTTGCCTCTAGTCCTCCATGTGCTTAGGGTCTGTATGGACAATGGATATCTACACTTTACAAGTCTTCACAAAGTACATTACAATAAAGCATCAAACAAACTTTCATAGACGTCCATAATCAAAAATTGCATGCCAAAATAGACTAAAAGAGACTTTTAAAAAAGTTTTAAAAAGAGAAAAGAAAATCTACATCCTAATTATTATTAATTTATCGACGTACATATATCTGCATTTTTATTATTCTACATACACATGGCGAAAAGTGTTAAGAAAAGTTTTTCAAGTTTTTAAACACTTAATCTGTAAATAATTATACTTGCAAAGTTTCTCATAGCTCCAAAAATCACTTATTAAAATGAATGAACGCGCGCACTTACCCTCAAAATCAGACAATATCCCCTCCAGATGGTCATTGACTGAGATATCTGACATCCTGACTTCAGTCCAGGGAAAAGTTCCAGCCTCGGTGGCACGCAATCACAAGAAATACACTTTGCGAAAACAGCACAAAACCTCTTTAAAAATGTTCAAGTTTATCCGACGAATTTTGGGCTTATGATGCAACAAAAAAGTTGCGATTTTGGTGGGAGTCGTTTCTCATCTGAGAGCGCAGAGCAGAACGTCAGATTCAATAGACACCCAAAAGCAGACAAACCATCTGATAAACCTCCTCCTCCCTTTGAGTCCTGCCCCCTCACGAACAGAGTGGTGGGTAAAGTGACTCCCACCCTGCGGCTACACCTGGAAAAGGCAAGTCTGTCCCACTTCGTTCGCTATTTCTGTTTGTTTGTGTGTGGGGAACATGCGTAGGCTACCCCCCAAAGAGGAAGACTCTTTGTCCTTATCTCATGAGAGATGAGGGAGGGATTGCGTCTAAGTGGATTTCTTGAGAAGCCGATTATTTATCAATGAAACACTTTGTATGAGGAGCAGCAGGGCTTTAAGGTTTGTAATTGACTCATGCGGTCCGAACGCCACCGATCAGCGCCATATATAGGGGACACCAGGGCTTGTTGCACGGTTTACTAAAATAAATTAAGGAAATTAGATTGGCTTTGGCCAACTACGGGGCATATTGCCACAATGGCACAAAGAAAAATTCAACTGCAGAAATTCAATGGCACAATTACATTCATGAATCAGCAAAAGTGAAAAGATAACAAACTAAATCATCACACCAGAGCTTGGCCAGCCAATACTGCAATAAATTGTAAGTTTATAACATTTAATAAAACTTCTGACATGTGACGACCAGCCCCCAGAACATCCATGTCCCGAGAACATAGTTCAGCTTCTTAGGTAATTCTATTCTATCTAATTATGTTTCTTACACCTACATTTTTACTTCCAGAGAAAACACATGCAGTTGGACTTTTTATTGAGTCGTTTTATTGGACTTTATTTATTTGATCAAAAATACAGTAAAAATAGTTTATATATATTTGAAGTTTAAAAGAACTGCACTTATTTGAAATATTGTTTTTTGTAACAATGCCAAAGTCTTTACTGTCACTTTTAATCAATTTCATTCGTCTAAATAAAAAAGTATTAATTTCGTAAAAAAAAACACCAACAACAACAAAAACTTACTGACGCCAAACTTTTGAATGGTATATTGTGTCATAATGCAACAAACTTTTTTTTTTTTCATTTATTTTAACTGTGTGTGTTTACGAAATTAATACATTTTTATTTAGGCGATTAAAATTGAATAAAGTCACAACTTGCAATCACAAAAGAAAATAGATAGATAAGATAGATAGATAGATAGATAAATTTGAAAAATTATTGATTAAAAAAAATACTTATACAGTATACATAAGTTTTTTTAAGTAATTAATACTTTTTTTTACTATTTATTTATCTTTCTATCTGCTTTTGTGATTGCAAGTTGTGACTGTTCAAGGTTCTTTGAAAGAAGAGTTAAGGATTTACCTGTCCTGGATTAACTCATGAATTGACCCCTTTCAAACAAGCTCATTGCTGTGTGGTTATCTGATAAGTCCAGAGGGCCATGTTCATGTCAGTGTAGTGAAGAGCAAGTGAAATGCTTGTTTTGTTCTTATTAGATGCATATTTGCTGCACTGTATGCTTATTGTGCATAGATACTGTTGAGAAAATGAAAAGGAAACCTCATATAATATTGTGTGTGTCGGCCAGAATAAAAAAAAGTGATTTCTAGCAATGCAATTACACTCAACTGTAGCAGTATAACAATAAGTCTTAGATCAGGAAACAGCTTCAGAAGGTTTAATCCATTTTGGAGCTGAGGGATAACAGAGAGTTCCTTTCATCTTTCATGGCCTACGTGCTTATTTTCAAGAGATAAGGGTTTTTATTTATATCAGAAACAGGAAATGTGGCAATTAAAAGTGGAAGGAGACTAAGAGTGGCCATGTGACTGAGTTCCCAGGCTCCACATTTGAGCATGCAGAGGAGCCAGGCAGTGATCCTCAGTGGCCCTCATTAGCCATATGAGTGTAGTGTGCTAGGGATTAAAGTCACGTAGCCTTTAATACTCAGTCTGACAGGTTCTGACTGTAGGCGAAGAGTTTCAGTGCTTTGGAAGAGAAGTGAGTCCTTGAACCGTGCCGCTAACCACCTCTGTCAAATTACATGGGTGTCCGAGGAACAACAATTTCTGGAAGTTGAAAAGTGCAATTCTATGTATTTGTGAGCTGAGCAGAAATGAAAGGAAGGGAAAGGATTAGATTGTGTGATGTTTGTATTGTCAGCTATTCTCCTCCATGTCTAAAGAGCACTGAAGTGGTAACGGATTTGTGAGGGTAAAAATAGATTTGGTTCTTGTCAGAGATATCCATTCTACCATAGTAAAAACTTGATTTCAAGCGTAATTATTGTGCTCTCTGAACTAGGGCCTGATGTCAAAATATTTTTTCCTGCTGCTTTTTTGTTCCGTGCAAATGTGACAATTTCCCAAAAAATTTCATGGGGTTCCCAGAATTTAAACAAAAGACCTTTGCAACTTTTAAACAAATTACCATTCATGGGATATGCGGTTATGCAATATATATTAGATCTTTTAAAACAGCCTTTTTTTGCATACATTCGAGGTTAACAGTAAATGTCAGAACTAGCAAACACAGCTGCTGCAGCAGAAAATTACTCAAACTCTCTCAATTTCCTGCACGCTGCAATTGACTGAAATGCTTCTCAAAACATTTGGGGAGCATTTAATCCTAGCTCCGACTTACTTTCCCATACCCAATAAGCTGGAGGTTAGTAAGCATTGTTTCAAAGGTCATGACCAAGGTTTTATAATAGTTAATCCACATGATTTATCTATAATTAAAATAAAGCAGATTTTGGTAGGATGTGACCAATAGCTGAAAAAAAGTCTATATGTTTTGTATACATACACTACTGTATTTTTATGCTCACCAAGACTGCATTTATTTGACCAAAAATATAGTAAGAACAGTCATATTGTGAAATATGTTTACAAATTGAAATAATTCTTTTTTGATATACGCATTTCAAAATGTAATTTATTCTTGTGGCAAAGCTGAATTTTCAGCAGTCTTCAGTGTCACATGATCCTTTATTCTAGAAATCATTCTAATATGGTGCTCACAAAATTACTTATTAATGTTGAGCGTAATATTTTTGTGTAAATGTGTGATAAGTTTTTAATAATTCTTTTTTGATATACGCATTTCAAAATGTAATTTATTCTTGTGGCAAAGCTGAATTTTCAGCAGTCTTCAGTGTCACATGCTCCTTTATTCTAGAAATCATTCTAATATGGTGCTCACAAAATTACTTAATGTTGAGCGTAATATTTTTGTGTAAATGTGTGATAAGTTTTCCAGGATTCAGTAGAAAGTACCAGCATTGATTTGAAATAGAAACCATTGATAACTTATTTGCGGTCATCTTTTTTGAAAAATTTAATGCATCCTTGCTGAATAATTTAATAATTTACAAAAAAAAAAATAATAATTTTTTTTAGAATAGTAGTTTTATTTTGGCACAGGTTAGTATGTTACAGTTTTCACACTGCCCACATAAGCAGCATGTAGAACTGAGCATATTTTTGCCATGCATGTGGCAATACATGGTCAGGTAGGGGAAATTACCAACAACGGATACAAATCGACTACGCCACCTGGAATATACCGGGACATAACAACCCTATACAAGGGCACACAGGTTCGTTGCCAAAGGCAGGGTGAGCATGGAGACATAGGCAAAGTATAAAAATTAAGCCATTTATTTGTACACAAATGAAACAGTTTAACACATTGGTTTTTATACACCATCTTAATCAAATCAGATACACAAATCTACCAGTTACAGAAATGACCAGTAGTAGAGAAACGGCCAGCGGGGG